ACACGTCAAAAACCTAAGTCGAGGAGGTAAAGCATGTTTGGCAAAGTTTTTAAGTGCCCATAAAACCAGTCATATATCATTTTGAACCATATATTCTTTAGAGCCACAAATTTTATCTACTTTTTAACCACATATTTCTTGGGACACACTGCTTATAAGCAAGCACATATGTAATATTCAGATTGTGTTGTTATTAAAAGGAGAGCAGTCACTTCGCCCTGCGTGGAGACAACCGTTTGTCACGCCTTGGAATTTTCATTTTTATTGTTTGTATAAATATATTCATTATGATGAAAATAGGTTGAAATTCAAATTAGATTTGCTTATAAATAAATTTTATTATTAATATAAATAGAAGCACAAACAAATTCACCATAATCATCCAGACTTGCAATTCATGTATAAAATTCCTCTAAAGATCAAAAGAGTAGGAACACTCTACATTTAAGATCAAAACGTTACTCATAAATTCAAAAAATTTGGTTCTTCTTCCCTTGAAATACTAAGTATTCAAATCCGACTAAATTATATTTTTCAAATTTGATTCTATTTCCTCATTTGATTTAAATAAAATAGAGAGAAAATATCGTGTGACTTACATAGGAGTAACTGATTAACCATGGCAGATATAGTCGTTTGAATCACTGGTGGGTAGTGGCACCCCATCGAGAACGAATAGTGTGTGCAATTTAGGTCCTTCTTTTGCAGATTCGAATTTACCAAGTTAAGATGAGATTTATATTTTTCTGGAAAGAAAGAAAAGAATAGAAAGAAAAAGAGGAGCATAGGAGTGGCGGGTTGAGTGAGAGAATGGACAAATAGGACAAATGGGTACTAAAAAAGAGACTGCCTCATCCTTTCCTTTAATGGGCCTAATACAATACATCGTTTTCATCTGATGAGAAATGAGAGAAAAAAAGGAAATGGGTGGAGGACGACACATATTTGCGACACCTATCCAGATCTTCTTAGGCTCTTTTATATACGTAGGATGTTATGTAAGTGTGAAAATATATGCTGACATTTTTTATTTACTAGGTGACATGTCGAGGTATATAAAATATTTTAAGAAGCGAGAAGTTCAAAGCAAGTGTACTTTAAATATTAGGTTTGCAGTAGATTTTAATAAAAATTGATAGAATATGTGGTTGAAAAATTATAAATTTCCTGGAATGTGTGATTGAAATCAATTGTTAAAGTCAATAGTATTGACTTTAATATGAAAATTTTATCAACTTTTAATTTATACCAGGGCGAGGGCCATATATAAGCTCTATATAAAAAAGGCTTAAAGTTGTCAACAAAAAAATTGTATAATATCACTTTAATTTTATCAT